GGCGTATTGGTTCATATAAATCCTCTTCATTATGTCCATGGCTGCTTTACCCCAGATGCTCCCAAATAGTCTCCTCTCTTTGGATTTAATGGACAGAGCTCTGGTGACAGACAACGCACAGGGATGGCTTCGTCTCTGTCCCCCAACGTCTTCACCATAGATTCCTGAGAGCAGTTTGCTGGGCCGATGGGAGTTTCACTGGTCATGTAACTTACTGGATTTTCTGCAGTCGGTGTCATCACATTTCTGCGTTCTGCCAGCCAGCGGAGGGGAGAGAGTGAGTGTCTTCGCACAGCCCTCCTGGCAGTGTTTGTGGTCAATGTTCAGAAATGCTCGAATCTGACCTCTGAAACACGTGTGACTTTCATTTGACATTCTCTTGTGGTGAATGCACAGAGCACCTGTTTATATGATTACACGTCATGTGCATAGACAGGATAGAAACTTTCAGTTAATATCTCGGTTTGCTTCAGACTTTGGTTTTGGTAACAGTTTGTGGCGTGATTCACATACCATACAATTCACCCATTTTATTTTATTTTTTTAAAAGATTTTATTTATTTATTTATTTGACACAGAGAGAGCAAGAGAGAGAGAGAGAGAGAGAGCAAGCACAAGCAAGGGGAATGGCAGGGGAGAAGCAGGCTCCCTGCTGAGCAAGGAGCCCAATGTGGAACTCAATCCCAGGACCCTGGGATCATGATCTGAGCGAAGGCAGCCGTTTAACTGACTGAGCCAACCCAGGCACCCCAATTCACCCATTTTAAAGTGTGCAATTCAATGTGGCTTTTTGAACTATTCAGAGTTGAACAACTACCACCACCGTCAATTTTGGAACACCTTCATCACCCCGAAAGGAAACCCCATGCCCACTAGCAATCACTCCTGTCTCCCCAGCCCTGGGCAACTAAGCTTTCTCTCCATAAATTTGTCTATTCTTGACATTTCATATGAGTGTGAACCATACACATCTTTTGTAATTGGCTTCTCTCACTGAGCATGTGAAGTATTGCTCAAAACATAATGTGTTATGTTTTATCCACTTTGTAGCATGAATCAGGACTTTATTCCTTTTTGTTGCCAAATAATATTCCACAGTCTGGACAGACCACATTTTATTTATCCATTCATGTCTTGTGTCCATTATCTTAAGGGATAATAGGCTTTGCCCATTTTTTTTTTGTTTCTAACTTACTGTATTGGGGAAATGTACCCTTTTATGTAATTAGCCCTTTTATGTAATGCATATATATATATGCAAATGCACATATATAAACTATTACAATTTATATCATACAATATTATATATGTGATATATATGTTCTTTCTCTCTTTGCCTTGTTATTCAAACTGGCTTATGGGCTTTTTCCTTTCCTTGCAAAAGTTTTTCTTTAAAAAAAAAAACCCTCAAATTTATTCAGGGCTTTGCATCATGGTTTAGAGTCCTTTCTCTCTCTCATTATGAAGAAGCTCTTCAATATTTTGTTCTAGCACTTACTTGGTTTTGTTTTATATACTTATATCTCTTAATTATTTGATCTACACAATATGAAGGATAAATCCAATTCAGTTTTCAGCAAACCATTTATTTTTAAAAATGCCCCTTTTTTTTGCAGTGATGTGTGATGCCACTTTCTCAATGCACTAAGTTTCTATAACTAGTTGGATTCGATTCTTAGCTTGGCTATTCTCCTTATGTGCTTGTACTAGATGATTTTGTTAAAAAGTGTTTCTATTGGGGCGCCTGGGTGGCTCAGTTGGTTAAGCGACTGCCTTCGGCTCAGGTCATGATCCCGGAGTCCCGGGATCGAGTCCCGCATCGGGCTCCCTGCTCAGCAGGGAGTCTGCTTCTCCCTCTGACCCTCCTCCCTCTCATGCTCTCTGTCTCTCATTCTCTCTCTCGCAAATAAATAAAATCTTAAAATCTTAAAAAAAAAGTGTTTCTATTGTGTTGTAATATCTGATAGACCTCGTCCTCCCTCACCTCTCTTATTTTTAAGTGTATCAGTAGGCTACTGCTATGTCTCTGTTTCAAAGTTTGTAAACCTTAATTACATCCTCAAAGTCCCTTTTGCCATGTGAAGTAAGAGATTCACAGCTTCCAGGGACTAGGGCATGGACATATTCTGGAAGCTGCTCTGCCTACTGGGGAGAGGGAGGCTTGGGAAGGGGAGCTCTGGGAAGATAGAGATAGAGATTCCTCTAGGACAACTGTGATTGTGAAGGATCCCTTGAAATTCCACCTCTGATTCTCCTCCAGGAGCATTTCCCAAACCTACCTTCTGGCCTCAGCCAGGTTCCGTGACTACCTGTGATGCGTATCTAGGGTCTCTAGGGCCTCTGGGAGCTGAGGGCCACCACTGATGAAGAGGATGAAGAGGGTGTCTCGTGCCTTGGAATGGACAAATCCCAATGGAAACCAGGAAGAGAGCCAAGCTCTGTACTCAGTCTGTGACAGCTTAGTTTGGTTTTGCTAATTTTCATATGAGTATTGGGCACATGTTATTTATTCTCTTTCTGTGTGAGGCTTGAGCTATAAAATGAGAGAGTTGTATATAATTTCTTTTTTTAAGATTTTATTTATTTATTCATTCATTTATTTAACTATTTCATGTACCTGTTGGCCATTTGCATGTCTTCTTTGAAGAAATATTTGTTCAAGTCCTATGCCTATTTGTAGTTGGGTTCTTTGTCTTTTTGTTGTTCAGAGTTCTTTGCATGGTGAAAATCGGTTGCTAAAATGGAGTCAGGAGGTTTTGGCCAGGAAACTGTCATGCTCTACCACTTGTAGTCAATGGTGGACCCAACAGGAAGAGGTGGAGTTGAACTTACATGGACTTGACCTTGCTTCTGGGTACTACTCCTCTATTCCAGCCAGGGGGAGAGATGCTATGCTTATCCCCCGGGGCAACAGCTCAGCCAATGAGAAGCCACCACACTTCCTTTTTTTTTTTTTAATTTAAATTCAATTAGCCAACATATAATACATCATTAGTTTCTGATATAATATTCAATGATTCATCAGTTGCATATAACACCCAGTGCTCATCACCACATGTGCCCTCCTTAATGCCCATCACCCAGTTATCCCATCTCCCACCCACCTCCCTTCTGTAACCCTCAGTCTGGTTCCCGGAGTCTTCTGATGCCCACTTAACTCCACTGGACTTTTAGTTTATTGCAACCTTCCCAACTTACCCCCTTTCTCCTTAAAAATCGTACCTCCCTTTTGTTCCCTGGACTTGACCATGAGTTTGGTGCAGCCTGTTTGTTCCAGTCTGGGATTCTCTCCTATTTTCCGATAAACCCATCTTTTGCTGGTGAAATAACTGGCAAGGCTTATTTTTAAGGTCACCAGCATACTGTAAGTCTTCCCTCTCAGCACAGCTCCAAGTGCACTGCTTCAGCCCCTGGTCATCCCTACGCAGCCTTGTTCCCCTATGGAACCCCCACTTCTCTCTTTGTCTGGCCATGACCACATGTTTTACAAACGTTGTGTCCAGAGCCTCTCTGCATTTGGAGCTGAAGGGGACTCCAAACATGGGCCTGGTCTGCCATCTTGACTACAAAGTCTGACACCCTAGTCACTTGTCTTTTTAAAATTTATATTGGTAAGAACAATAGAAATGAGATCAATCCTCTTAACAAATTCCTAAGCGTATAATCCAGTATTGTTACCTGCAGGCACAATGTTGTGAGCAGATACCTAGGACTTGCTCATCTTGTAGAACCGAAGGTCTGTACCCGTGGAACATGGCCTCCCCACGTCCCCTCCCCGTAGCCCCTGGCAGCCACAATGTTATTCTCTGCTTCTACGTGTTTGACATTTTAGATTCCTCATGTAAGTGGATTCATGCAGTATCCGTCCCTCTGTGACTGGCTTAGTTCACTTAGTACAATGTCCTCAACGTCCATCCATGTTGTTACAAATGTAAGATTTCCTCCTTCTTGGGGCGCCTGGGTGGCTCAGTTGGTTAAGCGACTGCCTTCGGCTCAGGTCATGATCCTGGAGTCCCGGGATCAAGTCCCACATCGGGCTCCCTGCTCAGCGGGGAGTCTGCTTCTCCCTCTGACCCTCTTCCCTCTCATGCTCTCTGTCTCTCATTCTCTCTCTCTCAAATAATAAAAATAAAATAAAATAAAATAAAATAATAAAAAAAAGATTTCCTCCTTCTTAGGAATATTTCCTGAATAATATTCCATGGTATGTGGATGCCACATGTGATTTATCCATCCATCCATTGAAGGGCACTTAGATTGTTTCCACATCTTGGCCACCGGGAATAATGCTGCAATGAACAACAGAGTGCTAATTTTCCTTCAGGATCCCAATTCAGTCCTTTTGGATCAATACCGAAGAGTGGGATTGCGGGATCATATGGCAGTCCTATTTTTAATACTTCGTAGAACTTCCATACTGTTTTCCAGCAACTGTACCATTTTGCCTTCCCACCAACGGTGTACACAGGCTCCAATTTTTCTGTTTCCTCTTCAGTACTTTTTGTCTTTGTGTGTGTGTTTCGGGAATAGTCATCCTAATAGATGTGCAGTGATATCTCATTGTTGTTTTGATTTGCGTTTCCCTGATGATGAGTGATGGCGAGTGCATAATCAGTCCTTAAGGATACCCGGTGAGGATGGGTACAAGGTTTCTACTTTTTAATATACAGCTTAGAGTTCCCTACTGCTATACATTTTCATATTTCTGTGTGTTTCTCTTTTTCAGATAAGTAATTGTGAGATCCATTATTGAACATCTGTCTTCTGATAATCCGAGCCCTGGCGGCACTGTGACTACATCTTCTCGTTCACAGATGAATGTCCAGGGCCTGGAAAAAGTCTAAGGGTTCAAATGGACATTTGCTGGGTGACTGGCTGAAGGGAAGAAATCCCCATATATGGAGATCTTGAGAAAGGAAGTGGTATTCCCTTGGGCACACCCAGGTTGTATGTGGCCAACGGGGCCGACTCAGGATTGGAACTCCGTCCCCACCCTCTTGAGGAAGGAGGTCATGCCTAGTAGATAGAAGCTTGGGCTCACCACAGATCAGATCTCACTTGTCTGCAGGGGCACAGGCATCCTCTGGAGCCCCCTTCTCTGAGCCCCCCGATGGGAAAGCCCCCTGCTGCCCGCATCCTTTGGGTATGTCAGGTCTGCCAGTTTCTGTGCTTTTGTCCATCTGTGCAGCCTTGTCCAGTGGGAGGCAGCGCCATGACCATCACCTTTACAGTCCTTCTCTGCTTCGGTGAGTTTTTGGAAGGATGGAGATAGACTCCTGTGTGGGAGAGGGGAGCCCTCTCAAAGTCAGGCTGTGATCTCTCAGGAGGTCTCGTGAACTTGGGATGCTCAGGAAAGGTGGGGATCTGCTCAGGAGTCAGTGGCCTCTCACTGGGATCTCTCTTCCAGGACTGTGTCTGGGCCAGATGACCCACGTGCAGGCAGGTGAGCCCATCCCCGGGGGTCCCAGGTCCCACTTCCTCCTTGGGCACAATATAGGACTCCCCTCCCTGCCAGGGCATCTGGAGGATGGAGGAGAGGAATGTTAAACTGATCAATAAAGAAGGTGTACAAGGGGCCCCAGGGCTGAGAGCTAGTGGAAACTGAGGCATAGAGAATATAGGGACTGCAACTCTGACTCTCTTCCAGAGACGCTGCTCACACCCAGCATCTGGGCAGAGCCAGGCCCTGCGGTGGCCCAGGGGAAGGCTGTGAGCATCTAGTGTCAGCGGTCTCAGAAAGCTGACCAGTACTTCCTGTACCGGGAAGGAGTCTCAGAGCCCTTGAGAAGGGAGTTTCCGCTGGGACCCAGCAACAAGGCCAAGTTCCCACTCCCACACATGACCTACCACCTTGCTGGGCACTACTCCTGTTTGTATCACAGACAAACAACGTGGTCAGTTCCCAGCAAGCCTCTGGACTTGGCAGTCACAGGTGAGCAGGCTCTTCCGTCCACACAGGTGAGGTGACTGTGCCCGGGGAGGGACCTCCCTTTCTACAGCAGGGTCCCGTTGACAATCTGCGGGTGGTGTTCCCCTCTCTTCCCTCCTTTTTTTTTTTATTATGGTAAGAACTTAGAACACGAGATCTACCTTCTTCACAAATTTTTGAGTGTCCAATACAGGATTGTTATAGGCACAGCGTTGCACAGCTGATCTCCAGAACTGAACCATCTTGCAAAACTGAAACTCTACCCACGATCTCCCCCTTCCCCTCCCTGCAGCCCCTGGCAGCCACCATTCTACTCTCTGCTTCTACGAATCTGGCCCTGTTTAGATTCTTCACAGAAGTGGAGTCATGCGGTATTTGTCCCTCTGTGTCTACCTTATTTCACTTAGCACATTGTCCTCAGGCGCCCCCTCCCCTTTTAACACATCTGGCTTGTTCTTTCCCAGGAATGTTCAACAAACCCAACCTCTCAGCCCTGCCCAGCCCCATTGTGACCTCAGGAGGGAGCGTGACCCTCCAGTGTGGTTCATGGCAGGATTTTGACTGGTTTGTTCTGTGTAGCGAAGGAGGAGAGGGCCACCCCAGACACCTGGACTCACAGCACCAAGCTGATGGGTGGTTCCAGGCACTCTTCACTGTGGACCATGTGAGCCCAAGTCACAGGCGGACATACAGGTGCTATGATTATTTCTTGAGCTCTCCCTATGTGTGGTCCACCTCCAGCCACATTTTGGAGCTCCTGATCTCAGGTGAGGAATTCAGGGCACGATCCTAGAACTCCTTGGGTCTCCAGACCAGTGAGAGGAGCCTCATCTCAGGTGGAACACGGGGTAGGATGAGGTTGGGGCAAGAGAGCTCAGGACTCTGGGAGCCAGCAGTGGGAGGCCTGTGGGAGGAGGAGGAGGAACCTGACCCTCTTGGAAACCAGAAACACCTTTTCTCCCAGGTGTGTCTAGGAAACCATCCCTGTCAGTCTTGCCAGCGCCGGTGGTTGCTCCTGGACAGAGCCTGACCCTCCAGTGTCGCTCTGATGTCGGCTACGACAGATTCGCTCTGTCCAAGGAGGGCGCACGGGACCCTCCCCAGCTTCTTGGCCGACAGCCCCAGGCTGGGCTCTCTGGGGCAGACTTCTACCTGGGCCCTGTGAGACCCTCCCACGGGGGCCGGTACGTATGCTATGGTGGACGCAAGCTCTCCTCTGAGTGGCCGGCCTCCAGTGACGCCCTGGACATCCTGGTCGCAGGTGAGGAGTCATATCCCAGCTCACACTCCCACTTTTCTTGGATTGGCGTTTCAGGGTCTTTTTGGAAGTGGGGGCAGGGAGCACAGGCAGAGAGATGGCAGGACAGGAAAGGGCAATCTTTTTTTTTTTTTTCCAGAATGCAAATATTCTTTGGTTTACTCATCAAAATCGCAAATAACAAAATAGCAAAAACCTTACCAGTTAAATAAAAAAGTGACATTCTTTATTTACCTATCAAACCTTATAAAGTGCGATCTTAACAAAAGTGGGAACAGAAGAAGCCAGGAGCTGCACTTGGATGGAGCACCTGAGTGACAGCTCATCTCAGCTCAGGGGAAGGGCGAGAGGGCGGAGCCGCCCCTAACACCCTGGACTCTCTCTCCCAGTCCTGCTCCCACAGGGGCCAACTCCCACCCTGTCTGCCCAGCCGGGGCCCTCTGTGGCCCCGGGAGAGAATGTGACCCTGCAGTGTCAGAGCCCCTGTTTGTTTGATGTGTTCCTTCTGTCCAAGGAGGGGGAAGCGGGCCCCCCCCGCACCTCAGATCTCAGCACCAAAATGGGGAATTTCAGGCGAACTTTGACTTGTGCCCTGCGATGCTGGACCACGGGTGGACTTACAGGTGCTACGGGTCACTCGGCAGTACCCCTTTTCTGCTGTCGCACCCCAGCGACCCCCTGAAGCTCATGGTCACAGGTGAGGGGCTGTGCGAATGTCTTCTTCCCCATCCCGTCTGTCTAGTGTCTGGATGACCCCAAGGCAGCCACTTCTCTGGATGCACCTTGTCCTTCCCTCTTCTGCCCCACACCCCCCACTGGGCCCCGACCCATGTGTGAAATGCAGCATCTCTGAAAAAGCCAGAAGACTTGCTTTTATCTACTTCTTTAACAGGAATGCATTGACATGGTCCATCCCGGAAACTGTTCACAAATGGGGTACAAAAAAGAGTAGTTACCTCTCAATCTCTGCTATCACTTGCTCAATCCCCCAAAACCAACCCAACCACACTCACCTACCTTTTCCCCCCTGAACGTTCAGGGAGAACCTACAAACATATCTTCCATGGGTGGACAAACATCAACATCTTATAGACACAGTTCTGATCAGCTCTATTTTTAAAAAATGAAATACATTCTAAAGAATTATCTGGTGTCAGTAACACAAATCTCTTTTAAACTTTTTAAGGGTTGTATAGTTGTTTCTTGCTTGAAAGTGTCAGGATATATGTATCCAGTACCCTATAATTTGGCATTGGCAATTTGTTTATTCCCAGCCTTTTGATATTTCAGACTATCCTGTGATGAATATCCTTGCACATACCTAATGCACAGAGGTATGTGGAAGCAATTACCCCTCATCTCTTGGTTAAATTCTTAGAATAGAATAGCTTAGGCAAAGGATGTTGTCATTCATTGTGTGATAAATACTGACACTCTCTCTTCCTATGCCTCACTGTTTGCCACTCTTCAGTTTTGACTTAAAATCCTTTTCCAAATGACACCTTAGCTGGTGACCCTATACAAATACCCCATTAACACCTTTTATAATTTTTAGAAAAGTGTTTAATCAGTCCTAAATGTATTACAGACTTTTCTATTTATAGCTCCATCTTATCTGATACACATTTTTTCCTCCTTCCCCTTCTCCCCCCTTCCTCCTCCTCCTCTTCTTCTTCTCCTTCTTCTTCTTCCTCTTCCCCCTCTTCTTCTTCTTCTTCCTCTTCCCCCTCTTCTTCTTTCTTCTTCCTCCTCCTCCTCCTCCTCCTCCTCCTCCTTCTTCTTCTTCTTCTTCTTCTTCTCCTTCTCCTTCTCCTTCTCCTTCTCCTTCTTCTCCTTCTCCTTCTTCTCCTTCTCCTTCTCCTTCTTCATTGGGTGTGGAGCCCAATGCAGGGCTCAATCTCACAACCCTGAGATCAAGACCTGAGCTGAGATCAAGAGTTAGATGCTAGAGTCAGGCACTCCACATGTTTCTTCTTAATAAGAACATTGATTATTCTTTATTACCTTCACCAAGACACACATGCACATGCTGGCACACATACTCCTGTGTATTGTATACATACAAATGTCTCACCACATATGTCTCTCTCTATTTACATACAGATATATATAGCATATAAAATACATTATATAATATATAATATGTATATTGTATGCATTTATGTATAGTATGTGATTTTTATACATTTATATATAAATGTATCTTATATCAAATGTGTAATGTACATAAATACACAGATATGTATATAAATACATCTATTTATATTTCCAGATAGTCCATAACTATTGGCTCAATAGTGAATGAATGAATGAATGGATGGATGGATGAAATAGCAAAAGAAAATCATTTGAATGTTCTTAACACAGATGCAGGATGAAACTGAATGGGCCAAGGCTGAGCAGAGACTGGTAGCCCTGGGTGCTCACCCCTTTGTGTTTCTGACCCTCAGGAATCCCTGGGCACCCACCTCTCATCCATGAATCCAGGACTCTCAGCTGAGGATTAACTCAGGACTCTCCTCCCCAGGAAATTAAGCTCATTGTAGGCTATTGCTCGGTCTGATGAGAGAGCAAGAAAGATCTAGGTGTGAGGAATTTCCAAACAGGTGCACTGTCAGCTCATGGCATGGGGTGTGGCTGAACCCTTTTTTGTCATTAAGACCCCAAAGCAAAGTCTAAATGCAAAGGAATCGGAGACAAGAGGGTTTGTGCCTCACCTACAGCTGCAGGAGGGATCACTGTGAAAGCCAAGGTCCTTCCTCGGGACAGGAAAAGGGAGATTTGATCATTCAGATCCTCGGGGGAAAAATAGGCTGAGATATCCCCAGCTACTCATCTGCTCTGCATTCCTGACTCTTAGGGGCTCCTGTTATTATCACCCCATTAGTGCAGACTCCAGACTCCACGAGTGCTGAGTATCAGAACATAGTCAGCCTGCGGTGCATATGGCCTATTCAAGGGGAGGAGAGACCTAGACCTCCCCTCTGGGTGCTGTGGTAGGCGTGACCTGTCCTGCCCCGCATGACCTCTCTGTCCCGTTGTCCCTAGCCCCACTTCCAGATCACACACTGGAGAATCTCATCCGAATGGGTCTGTCCACACTGGTCCTGGTGGAACTAGCAGTGTTGGTGTTTCAGGCGTGGCACAGCCAGAGAAGTGCCCAAGGTGAAACCAAAAGGTAAACTGAGGACGACGCTGCACACACTCTTTGGGGTTTGTAGAACCTTAGAACAGAATCACACACACACACAAGGCTGCAATGACACAGAAGATTCTAAAGAGGTTCATGAACTGTATGAACTCTGTGCTGAAGACCTAAGGGCAATGAAGCACTGTTGTCTGTACAGGAGGCAAAGACCGAGGCTGGGAATGCTCCCAGGAGGAGGCTCCTCCACCACGAACCTTGCCCCTTGCCTTGCTGCCTCCTTAGTGTCTGGCTTCTCTTATTCCCGCACCCTGATGACATGAAGTTTCATCCACACGAAACATTTGTGCCCATAACTCCACTCACTTTCTTTGTTCTGTTCCAACACTGTGTATCACAAATGTCTTTTTGTCACATGCATGCTCCCTGATGTGAGTTTCCAGTCTGTCCCTCCAGCTCTAAGTGCAGAGACTCAAGTAATATGGTTGAGTAACTGCTTTGACGGACTGAAATTTTTATCCAGCCTGGAAGATGCAAGCCCAGAATGACATCCCAGCACCTTGTCTGGATTCTGCAGGCTTCTCTCTCTTCACCAGGTGCTTACTGCCTGGCTCCTCCCCCAGCATCAGCACCTGGAATCAGCACTCTCCTGCGTGAGCCTCTGGTGCTTTCCTGTGTGACTGGTAGTGATGATCTCTCCTTCAGGGTTGTGGTGCTAATTAAATGAGACTGTGAATTCCAAGATGATAGAGAGATATTTGTTTGTTTTGATTTCAAAGCACTGCTGGTAGGTGTGCAAATTGCTCCAGCCAGTTTGGTAGGGGGTAGTGTGGATTTTCTGGCTCAGGGGCAAAGATACGCAGCTATGATCAGGCAGTCCGACACCTAGAAGTTTGCCCTGGAGAACCCCGCGCACATATACCCAAGGATATAGGCATAAGAGTCAGGGGAGAAACATTGCTCCCATTGGCCAAAAACTGTAAATAACAAAATTCCACCAACTGAAGAATGAATGAGTATTTTGTGTTACTTTTATACAATGGAATATAATACAACAGTTAAAATGCACAAACTAGGATTACAAACATAATAAATACAGATTGATCTTACAAATACAATGATGAGTGAAAGAAGGAAGCCAAAAGGATGCATGCGACACTATTGCATTATTAACAAGACACAACATAAATTATGTAGGAGTCATAAAATGTGCAAAAACCATGAAAAGGGATGAAATGATTAATTTAAAATCACAATGATGGTCACCTGTAGAGAGGGAACAACAGCAGGGTATTTTCACAATGGACATTACTACTGGAAACCATGTGGGAAATAGCAGTTTGTCTGAAACCTCAACCCAGGCTCTGGTCTAGAGAGGAATCCAGTACCCTGGTTGGACCTTAACACCAGATGGGATGGCCTCGTATGGGGTGGACTTGTCACTTTTTAACTCTTATGGGAATGGTCAATATTACACAGTGGTCATGTGTGCAAAGATTTAAGCTGATGCAGTAACATCAAGGGTAAGGGACATGCAAACATTTTAGTGTAGCCACAGTGTGTGGGATAAAGGAGAGAAACACATTCGTTCTGGAGTTGGCCAAAGGAGCCTGGGCAGTGCACTGAGAAGCTCAGATGCTCATGCACACAGGTAATGGGCCAAGCTCAACTGGAGAATTTGAAAATTCAAAGATCAAGAGCACTGTCCACTGCCTCAAATTGGAGCATAAGAGATACTTTGTTGTTTCCAACATGGAGGATATTTCTCAGCTAACAAATCACATGTAGATACACTGGTGAAGCTCCAGAATCCTGTGAGGCCACACTCGGAATCAGTAATCTGCACACTATATCCTTAAAATGAGGGGCCTGGGTGGCTCATTCGTTAAGCATCTGCCTTCGGCTCAGGTCATGATCCCAGGGTCCTGGGATTGAGCCCCGCATCGTGCTCCCTGCTCAGCGGGAAGCCTGCTTCTCCCTCTCCCACTCCCCCTGCTTGTGTTCCCTTTCTTGCTGTGTCTCTATCAAATAAATAAACAAAATCTTAAAAAAAAAATAAAGATCTCAGGGACGTGCTCAGGAATTCTTGAGGTTTCTCAGCTGATTCTGTCATTGGATTATGATATGAGAGAGGAAGTAGGAAGCAGAGGGAGGCATTGACTCCACTCCTTCTGAGGGAAAGAGAAAGAGAAGCACATCCATAATGGAGATAAATTATATGTATATCTGAAGAGTTGGGAAAGAAGGGGAGAGAGAGAGAGAGAAAGAGAGAGAGGCCAGAACAGAGATCAACCAAGTCAGCAGTGAGCACCTGGTCTCTAACATCCTGTCAACCTCCTGTATCACTTATGTTATTGACCTCAGTCCTCCCTCCCCCTCTCTTCTTTCTCTGGAGGAGACTTGTCTTGGGGCAAACCACAGTAATATGCCCTCCCTGTCACCTATTTTCAAGTCCCTGTTTAGGGATGGAGAGAGTTTGAGTTTTTGGATACGTGTATCTGATATCTGGCTTGCCAAATGCTATTCCAGATGTCTGATGGCTTGGCACCCATATTGCCTGGGGACTAAGGGCAGAGTGGGTGTGTAATAAATCTAATGAAATAGGTACAATCTAACATATGCACAGAATAAAATGGAAAACAAGGGAGCCAATCTGTCCTCCAGAAACTTGGAGATGCTCAGGGCTTTGGAAAAGTTGTGCACGTGGAGTGTGGAAATAACACAGGAAGAGAACAAACCAGTTGGTGGAAAACTGAACCCCACTCATCTCCTAGACCCACAAGACAATCTAAAATTGAAACTGTTTTTCTTTGAAAACATGAGGAAGTTCCAGAGCAAATTCTTGCACAGATTTTCCTTTAGGTAACTTCTGCTTGATCATCTCGTCAACCTAACCTGAAATTGGGCATGCAATGAGCACCTTGCAAATAAAAATAGTTTTAAGGCAGAGAATTTCCCTGTCCAAAGGCCAATAGCCTTCAACTGAATTTGGATTTTTGAAAATTTTTATTTATTTATTTGAGAGAGAGTGAGAGCGAGAGAAATTACAGAAGGAGAGGGAGAAGCAGACTCACTGCTGAGCAGGGAGCCCGATGTGGTGCTTGACCCCAGGCCCCCAAGATCATGACCTGAGCTGAAGGCAGACGCTTAACTGACTGTGCCACCCAGGCACCCCCAACTGAGGGAATTTGAAGTGAAATTTAGGTAACAGCAAATCCAAGATACAACAAATATAATAAATATCCAATATATTATGTTGAATGTTTACATTATCCAATAATATTATCCAAGATAATAAGTAATTGTATTCTCCTGTATTCACATTGAGAGGAAGATGGTCAATCTGGACTTCGGGGTTTAGCTCATTATCCATTGGGCCCAGTACAGTTAAACAATGGGTGGGGATCAGGCATGGGATTTATTCTATTCTGAGACAAATTTTTTCTCTGTTTCACTAAATTGATAGTCTAAAGAAAGTTACATATACATGGAAAAAGCCAGAATTTAGTACATGCTCAGAACGACCTAATTGATGGGAGAACTGACAATATTCTAATGACAATACTCCACAGACAATACTCTACTGCTGGTATTTTGGGGTCTCCCCACCGTGTGACTGTAAAC